TCTCTGTGTGTTTGAATCTATCGTGCTGACTCACTGACTGCACCGATTTGATTGGCTGAGTAGCATCACCTCCTAAAAACATTAAAAAATAACTTTTTAAAACCTTTTTATCTTTATGTTTTAAATATGTGTTTTAAACATTTTTTACATTTTCAACATCGTGGATGAATCCTTATATGTTCCCGGCAACACACTGAACATCAACTTTGCCTCCTTATTACACTAACCCCTACTTTAGTGCTGGGAACAATGAGTCTGCGTCTTTGATGCGCACAGGCGGATGATGCAGGGATCAGAGTCCTGCATTGGGTCGGTACCCGACGGGTGACCCGCAAAAAAGTGATTCGCGGGTGGTAAGATTCCTCAGACCTCTCCCCGCGGGACCGCGCATAATCATAACCTCTGCATCAATCTGCTGCTGAGCGCGCCACATTCGAAATGGCTGAGGTGAAGCTCTAGCGGAGAATACAGCATTGTAAATAACTCTTCCTCAAGAGCGAAATCCAACGTCTGGGAGGCTTTTGGTGTCATGGAGAAAATAACCAACATCCCACACTCTTTGAGCCAAATACGCAACTGCGTGTGTTAATAATTGCATGTTTTCAGTGCTCCTAGGATATGCGGGTCGGGTCGGTTTGCGGATCTTGTGCCGACGGGTCGGGTCGGTTTGCGGAACTAATTGGCAATATGTGTGGGTGGCGGGGCGGGTTCGGTATTGCACGTTGCAGGTGCGGGGCGTGAGCGGGTCTTGAAAATCAGACCCGTGCAGGACTCTGGCGGGGATGCAATGTAGACAGGAATAAACGGAGATCATCCTCTGGCTGCAGCCTTGACCGGTACTTGCTTTTGATCAAAGTCAATGCGGAAAACCCGCACTTACACAGGTAGGTGGAGGTGAAGGGAATGAGCACTTTTACAGCCTTTTTGGCGAGGTGGGGGAACTCGGTCTCCACAGACAGCCAAAAGTGTGCAAGTGACACTTTACTCATCTTGTTCTCGTTGTGGAGGAAACTTCTGTGTAGTAATGCATGGAGTCACCGACTCAGGAAGGAGACACGGTGAGAGTTGGAGCTTTGATGTCAAACACTGATGGGTTTATTCAGAGTATTCGGCCGGAGGATTCACATCACAAATCAAAGAGTCAGAGGTTCTGACCACACGGTAGAGTTGCCACGTCAATTCTGAAGAACCTCTCTCTATGCTAGACCTTTTAACAGGTTCACAGAGAGAAATCAACATCTCTGAAGGAGTAGACTAAACACTGAATCACCTGCGTCCGACGCTCATGGCCTCAAGGATTTCACATCCTAGAGCCCACAAACACCGATAAAGAAGTGCCTCAGTGTTCTCACAACAATTACCCTTCGTGCCAGTCAAGTTGACCGGTCACACACTGGTGACAACAACACATATGGCACCAAGGCCTTTCCTTAAAGGAGATAACACATGTCAGAGTAAAAGGTTAGATATCTAGAAGAATTATTCCTTAACACTCGTTACTTTTTTTTCTCATGCTGCGCCTCCCCTGAAGCCTCACACTTTGAAAACCGCTGCTCTGGGCCACCCGGACAGAGTGCAGACCCAGCAGAGAGCCCAGGGCCCGGGCATCGCTCAGCTCCGGCCCCACTGCATCCACTAGCTGCTGAAGGCACAGAGTCTTGGATCGGCACAGCGCCACCGTCAGGCCGGGTGTTTCGCTGCTGCTGACGTCCAACCTGGCTTTGTGAATCAGAGGCTCTTTCAACAACCAGTACAGAGAGTCAGTCTTTGGACACCTTTTATGGTTAAAAAGGGCCCAAGATTTAAAAACCTGATAAAAAGGAGGTAACCCACTGAACTTTCAAATGTTTAAATCAGTTAAAAACAGAGCAGCATCCAGCCCCAGGTTACTCACGCGTCGGAGAATGCAGCTGCTCACATCTCCCCACACCAAATCAGCCGGTCAGATACCTCTAAAAACTGTATCCTCAAAGTGGCTGTTCGGCTGGCCAGGTGGATAAGGCCCTGTCCGCCCTCCTCTCTGGATAAAAACAGCACCCCCTGTGGCACCCAGTGTAGACCCTCTCAAAAGAAATCCACCAATTTATTTTGTATCTGGGCTAGTAAGCCTGAGGGAGGGTCTACACAGGTAAGCCTGAGGGAGGGTCTACACAGGTAAGCCTGAGGGAGGGTCTACACAGGTAAGCCTGAGGGAGGGTCTACACAGGTAATCCTGAGGGAGGGTCTACACAGGTAAGCCTGAGGGAGGGTCTACACAGGTAAACCTGAGGGAGGGTCTACACAGGTAAGCCTGAGGGAGGGTCTACACAGGTAAACCTGAGGGAGGGTCTACACAGGTAAGCCTGAGGGAGGGTCTACACAGGTAATCCTGAGGGAGGGTCTACACAGGTAAGGCGGTGCCACAGTTGGGATGCCACAAGGTTGTTTAAAACCAACACTCTACCTTTAAAAGACATCTGAGGGAGCAGCCACTTCCACTTGGACAGCTTTCTCTCTTCTCTGTGACGTCCTCCCAGTTCTTCAGGACTATATTTGTATTTCCCAAGAACACACCCAGGTACTTTAACCCATCTTTTTTCCATGACATGTTCTGGGGAAGAACTGGGAGACCGCCACTCCACTCACCGACAGCGAGGGCCTCACTTTTCCTCCAATTCACCCTCGCTGCCGATGCTGAACTAAACTCCCTCACGATGTTGACTAAAATGTCTGTATCTTTCTGGTCTCTAATAAAAACAATGACATCATCTGCATACGCTGATAAAACCATGCTTCCATTAAAACCAGGTAAAAACAGCCCTTGCAGTTTGGAGCGTATTTTGTTGAGGAGGGGTTCTAGGGAGAGTGCAGAGCATGCCAGACAGAGCACAGCCCAGCCGGACCCCTCTACACACTCTAAAAGGAGCACACAGCCCACCGTTGAACTTCAGCACACTCTCAATCTTATTGTACAACACCTTGATCTTGGCTATGAAACCAGCGCTGAACCCAAACTTCTCCATTACTTTCCAGAGGAAGCTGTGCTCTACGCGGTCGAAAGCCTTTTCCTGATCTGGAGAAATCAGACCAGTATTAATGCCCAATGAGCTGGAGACCTCCAAAACATCTCCAATTAGGTGGACATTGTCCACCATGGACCTGCCGGGCACACAGTAGGTCTGGTCCCGGTGGATGACCTGCTCCACAGCCCTCCCCAGCCTGGTGGCCAAAGCCTTGGACAGAAGTTTGTAATCCACACACAGCAGAGACACAGGGCCCCAGTTTTTGATGTCCTGCAGGTTTCCTTTCTTTGGTAGCAGCGTGATCACCGCTCTCCTGCAGGACATCGGCATTGAGCCAGAGGCCAGACTTTCATTAAAAACGTCCAAAAGGTCATGTGACAAGACGTCCCAGTAGGCTTTATAAAACTCTGCGGAGAGGCCATCGATACCAGGAGCCCGCCGTCCCTGCATGCCTTGCAGGGCGGTCTGCAGCTCCTGGATCGTTAACGGCCCTTCGAGCTGTGAGTTGGTCTCCTCTGAGACCTGAGGTAGTTCATTGCAAAACCCCTCGGACAGCGTTTCCCCCTCCTCATACTCGCTTGTCTATAAGGTGGAATAAAAGCTCACAGCTCGCCTCCTGATCTGGCTTGGCTCTGTTATTTCCTGCCCTGTGTCTGACAGCAGTGAGTGGATCACTCGCCTCTGCCCATTCTTTTTCTCCAGGCCGAAGAAGAAGCTAGTGGGAGCATCCATCTCATTAGTGTTGAGGAACCGGGACCTGACCAGTGCACCCTGAACTTTAACGTCCAGCAGGTTGGCGGCCGCCACCGTGGGAGACACCCCTCCCTCAGCAGCAGCCACCTGCTACTCCATTACAACCGGCGCTTTGGCGGCTGGTGCGGCAGTCCGCCTCGGCGCAGCCACGGGCGGTTCCGGCGCAACGGACGGCCCTGGCACAGCCGGTGGTCCCGGCGCAGCGGTGGACGGCCCAGCCTGCGGGTCATCCGGACCAGGCGGAGCCGGATCCCCACGCCTCGGACAGGCATTCACGGTGTGCCCCTCCTCCCCGCAACCAAAACACTTCATAACTGATGATGTTGCAAAAATCACATAGTCATAATCATCTACTTTAACGTAAAAACGGAGGTTAAGCTCCGCATTCCGATTGTTCAGTATCATATAAACTTGTCTGCGGTGAGACACTACGTGTTTCAGTAACTGAGACTTACATCCAGACAGCATCTTTTTCACTGGAGAAACAAGTTTCCCGTGTCTGGACAGTTCTCTACTGAGGAACTCATCAGTTATGAAGGGAGGGACATTTGAAAGTACAACTTTGGTTGCGGGCAGCATCAGCGGCTGTACCTGTACAAACATTTCTCTCACCGTGATGCCCGTCTCGATGATGCGGTTCACTTTCTCCACCTGATCCAGAAAGATCACCACCGCGCTGTTCATCCGTGCCAGGGACTTAATGCTGCTGTGCCCGACCTTCTCTCCCACAGCCAGCCCGATCTCCTCCACAGTGCATGGGAAGCCAGCTGAGATTTTAATGCCGTGCTTCCGCGTGAGTTTGGCAAACTCCCCATTTACCATGGCGTCAGACTCCGGCCGGCGAGACACCGGCAGGAGAAGCCCACAAAACACCCCACAAACACCACCAAAAAGCACGAAAAGTAAAGCAAATCAAACTACCACCGATAAACTATATTAAATTAACTCCCATTACACAAAAATAAACGGAAAATATAACTCAAAAGTCACTCACACTCCAAAATCTCCCAGCATGCACAAGAAGAAGAAGAAGAAGAAGAAGAAGAAGAAGAAGAAGAAGAAGAAGAAGAAGAAGACAATTTAGTACATTTCAGTTGAGACACACACAGTCCATGTATATAGGTGCACATGAACATGCATTCGTTGTTATAAAAGACACAGTAGGTGAACACATGCCTTTTGGAAAGGTCCAGAGCAGAGAGGCAGCAAGTTGGTGCTGGTGCCAGGGAGCAGTTGGAGGTTCAGGGCTCCAGAGGTTGATGAGAAGCCCTCTTAATTTGAACAACCTGTAGAAGAACATATCCAGGTGTTTCCTGCTGACAGGAATGCATTTTACTTTTATTTTGTTATATGTCTTTCCCCAAAAGTAAGTGTGTAATAACATCTAATCTGTTTCTAGCTTGATTTCTGGTTCTTCTTTTGCAGGAATGACTTTGTGGGACCCTGAGGACCTTAAAAAACATATTGAACAAAGACCACAGAGCTATAATGAGTTTGATATAGTTGCATCTGAATCAATTGAGGACAAATCTGAAGCACTAAATGTTGAAGCATCGCTGAAGGCAAGTTTCTTGAGTGGACTGGTAGAGGTTAGTGGATCAGCCAAATACCTGAACGATACTAAGACTTCCAAAAATCAGGCCAGAGTAACACTGAATTACAAAACTACCACAAACGTCCAACTACTGTCCATGAATCATCTTGGGAGGGGCAAAGTTAAGCATCCATATATATTTGATCAAGGAATAGCGACACATGTAGTCACAGGTATCCTTTATGGGGCAAAAGCCTTCTTAGTATTTGACCGTGAGGTGTCTGTCAACGAGAACCATCAAGACATTCAGGGCGACTTGAAGGTGATTATCAAGAAAATCCCCTGCTTTTCAATAGAGGGCGAAGGCTCGCTGAAAATGGAAGACAAGGACAAAAAAAAAGTTGAGAATGTGTCCTGCAGATTCATTGGAGACTTTTTGATTCAGAAACCTCCAACATCCTTTCAGGATGCAATAGAGGTGTACCAAAGTCTGCCAAAGCTGCTGGGAGCCAACGGGGAAAACGCAGTACCAGTGAAGGTCTGGCTGTTGCCTCTGACATGTTTAGATTCTTCTGCCGCTAAACTTGTCCGTCAGATAAGTATAGGATTAGTTGAAGAATGTCAGAGTGTCCTGGAGGACTTCAGTAACCTGGAAATGAGGTGCAATGATGCACTGAGAACCCAAACTGCACAGCAGTTCCCACAGATTGGAAAAAAACTCAAAACCTTTAAACAGAAGTGCTCTGAGTTCAAACTGGAATTCCAACAAACTCTGGCAAAGAAACTTCCATCAATCCGAGGAGGAGGAGAAGAAGAAGCTGTGCTCGCAGAGGAACTGAGGAAGACATGTTCTTCTCCTTTCAACAGCAAGGACCTGAACGAGTGGATGGACTGCAAGGAGATAGAAATATACACCGTGATGTCTCTGACCGACATGATGACAAACACCAAGATCATCTCATCTCAAACAGACCTGTACAAAGAAAGCTTCCAAGCAGAGCAGGCTGTGTGTTTTGTCTTCACCTCGCTGGGAAGTGATGAACCGTACCTCTCAACTTTATCAAACTACCTTCAACAAACACCCAAACTAGACGATGCTCAAGATCCCCCCCCTCCAGATCAATGGTACAACTCAAGAAGAGAAATGGAAGCAATGGGGCATAAAGTAAAGCTCTTCAGTGATTTTGCAGAGGCCAACAAGGAGAACAAGAACATCACATTCCTGACGGTGGGTTTAACAAACGAGACACAGAGAGGTGCCAGCATCTGCCTTTATACAGACGGCCTTTCTGTCACTGAGAACTTTGAGCCGCCTTCAAAGCCTGCAACAGTAACAGGAAGTGATATAAACCACAACAGTGTGACGCTGAACATTTCTCCACCCAGATTTGGAGCAGAGGACATCTCCTCCTACTCTGTTGAGTACTGTGTCAGTGGAAAGGACGACTGGAAACAAAAGACAGCATCCAAAGCTGAAGAAGTCACAGTGAGCGGCCTGAGTCCTAACACAGAGTACATGTTCAGATGCAGGGCAGAGACACCAGTAGGTGCCGGGCCAGCCAATGAAGTCAGTGGATCCATTAAAACCTTACCCTGCAGCCCTCCTGGAAAACTCCACGTTGAATCTACCTCAGGTGAGATATCAGTCAGCTGGGAGAAACCTGCTGAGCTCGGACAAGATGTCCACGTTTTGAGATACATCGTGGAGTACGCCAAACCAGACCAACAGGTGAAAGAGGAAGATCTCCACTGGGAGCAAATGATGGCAGGAGCTGAGAAGGCGATCATTTCAGGACTTCAGCTAGAGACAGAATACGCTGTCAGGGTCAGGTGTGATTGTGGTACAGCTGGAAGAAGCAAAGAAAGCATCGCTGTTAATGTCCGCACAACTAAACGTGCACATCTCAAAGAATTCCTCAAAAGTAAAAGCAAAAAGATCAATTCTGAATCTCCCTCAGTTTACAAACTGCCTCTGACAGAAGAAGACATGCACATCAAAGGATGCCGGAGGTACAACTTTGGCAAAGAAAGCATCAGGGATAATCGCACAATAATGATTCTCGGAGCAACTGGATCTGGAAAGTCCACTCTGATCAATGGACTCATCAACTACATCGTTGGTGTAGAGTGGGAGGACGATTTCAGATTCAAGTTAGTTGATGAGGATCAGTCGAGATCTCAAGCTGAGAGCCAGACCTCTGAAGTCACTGTGTACAACATCAACCACCAAGAGGGCTTTAAAATCCATTTCTCTCTGACCATCATTGATACTCCAGGCTTTGGAGATACAAGAGGAATAAAAAGAGACAAGGAGATCACAGAACAGATACGTAATCTCTTCTCTTCAGAGCGTGGCGTCAGTGAAATTGACGCAGTGTGTTTTGTAGTTCCAGCTTCTTCAGCTCGGCTCACACCAACACAGGAGTATGTGTTTGATTCTGTGCTCTCAATCTTTGGCAAAGATGTGGCAGATAACATCCAGGTTCTGGTGACATTTGCAGACGGCCAACGCCCACCAGTTCTAGAGGCGATCAAAGCTTCAGGTGTCCCATGTCCTAAAACAAAAGACGGGCTGCCAGTTCACTTCAAATTCAATAACTCTGCATTGTTTGCACAGAACCAATCATCTGCTGCTGCTGACTTGAGTGGAGAGGAGGTAGATGGAGGCTTTGAAAAGATGTTTTGGCAAATGGGGGCACAAAGCATGAAGACGTTCTTTGCCGCTTCAGATAAGCTAACAACCAAAAGCTTGACCATGACAAAGGAAGTCCTCAGAGAAAGAAAGCAGCTCCAGATCTCAATTGAAAATGTGCAGAAGCAGGTTAAAGTAGGGTTAGCCCAGCTTGAGACGATTAATGGGACAACTGAACAACTTAAACTGCATGAAGCAGAGATCAGCAGAAATGAGCAATTTGAGATTGAAGTAGTCGTCATGAGGCCTTTTAAAGAAGATATATCTGGCTCTGGACAGTGCATAAACAACTGTCAGGTGTGTTGTGTCACCTGTCACTATCTATGTCCATATGCCAATGATGCAGATAAAATGAAGTGTGTAGCAATGGGATCAGATGGAAACTGTACTCAGTGTAAAGGCAAATGTCATTGGAGTAAACATTTTTTGCAGAAGTACAGATGGGTGTATAAGGAGGTTAAAGAAAAGCATACAGTGAAGGAGCTGAAAGAAAAGTACCTGAAAGCCTCAGAGGCTAAGGGAACTGTTCAGGAAATGATCGACAGAATCAAGTCTAAATATCAGCGTCTTCAGGCTGAAGTGATGGAGATGATGAAGAGGTCTGTCAAGTCTATAAACAGACTAGGAGAGATCGCACTGAGGCCAAATCCTCTCTCCACTCCAGAGTACATTGATATGCTGATTGAGGGAGAGAAATCTGAGGCCAATTCAGGCTGGAAGGAACGAGTCCAGTACCTGATGGAGATGAGAGGACAAGAAGAGCTCATGGGTAAAGCAAGGAGAGGAGAAAACCTGCTTCAAAGTGAATAATCTTTAACTGAGGGCAACATCAAGACCAGCTCCAACTGAGACCAAGACAAGAGCTGAACATGATATCAAAGAAGAGACGTGTGTATACACAATTAAACAAGACAGGATAGTGAGTGATACTGATCAAGAGTCCTTGATGGCCAACACAACCAAGTGAAGATGACACAAATGTTCATGGGACATTTTTTTTTTTATTCTGTTCTTACAAAGTTATTGTTTAACTGTTTTTTTTAATTACATGACATGTCACTTGTACTCAATACTGTGGGCAATCCCTACAGGAGCAATTTGGGGTGAAGTGTCTCAGGGACACAACGACATGCTGACTGCAGTGGGGTTTGAACCTGTGCCCCCCTGATCCGAACACCAAGGCTCTTCCACTGTGCCACACGCCTCCCTTTAATCCTGAAGGATTACAGTTTTTTAAAGCAAGATGGTTGGTCTTGAAGAAATGCTGAAGGAGCAGCCGAGAGAAGCTCCTCCAGAGTCCACAGTGATCACAAATCCTTTGGATCAAAACCAAACCAAGACCAAACAGATGGCAGCAAGACCAAGAGGAGATGTATCAACAAACTGGAAGACGTCTGTGTTTTTATATCTGAGATGATCTCACCAACCCTGGGACCCATCTACTTCCTGTTTGGCATGTGTGTTGCTATGGACCAGGGGGAGGTGCTGCCCCGTGTGAGGCTGTTTGGATCAGCGGTTCTGTAGGAATATGAGAGAACCCGGTCCACCCAGCGCTGAGGTGGAATGCAGTTCAAAGTGAAATGTTGGACTCTTTACTTCACCACTCTACTCTTTACTCTTCTGCATCGGGTACCTTTACATTTATTACTATAGCTTCATTTTGATTATACTTTTACACACTTTTACCTATGTGACATTTTGAATGCAGGACTTCTACTTGTAACAGTATCTATACAATGTGGTATTATAACTTTAACCAAAGTAAAGTATCTGAATACTTCTTCCGTCACTGATACAACACATGAAGTCCAAATAGACCCGCACTCAGAGCTCTAGTGTTAATCAATGAATTACAAAGCTTTATTGTTCTCCTGCACAAACATCTCCCTGCAGGAGCAATCTGCATGTTCTGTTTGACAGGAAGTAACATGTACCATGTGCATGAAATGTGAAAGTGTGATTGTTTTGTGCAGAAATCATTAACGTCCTGACACCATCACCACCAATGGAAAAGATGAAACCTGCAAGTTTATTAAAAGTGATGTTTATTTTCTATTATGATCATTTACAAATATCAGATTATTGCTAAATGTTTTTTCTGCTCTTCATGTTATTTCCTTTGAGATGTGTAACTCTACGTGAGTTTTGTTAATGATGGATTGTATTGCTGAGTGTCCTGAAATGATACGGTGGCTCCTGCTGGATGATGGAGACCTTTCTAAACGTTAAACAATAACTCAGACTAATGTGAAGTTTATTTTAATCAGAACAACAGATATGAGAATAAGGAGATTAAAGAAGATCTATCAACAGCTGAAGGGAAAAAGTATAACTTTTAAATATTGTATTTTTCACATAAAGTTTGAATTTATTTCCATTGTAATCGTTTTACTGTGTTGTTGTTTTAACCGGGTTATCAGCTTCCTGCTTAGTTTAACATTTAATTTACTATTAGTTTAATATTCTTTGAGTTTTAAAAACATTATACCTGATACTGATGTGTATTGATTATCATTTACTGACAGATGGAGAAATCATTCATTAACAATAAATAAATGTCATTTTGTCTCAAATGTTTCTGGCCTTCTTTATCTCCTCGTTTCAAAGCCTCTAAAACATTTACCCAAACACTGAAGTTCAGTTTAGAGGTACTTGTACTTCACTTGAGTATTTCCATGTTACTTTATATGTTACCTCTCCAAGTTAGATTTCAGAGAATCACTAAATCTCCATGTAATCACTAAAGAAGAACATGATTAGACTGATTGCAGAGTCATTCAAATGAGCAGAACATAATGTTAACCTCCAATAGTGTGTCTGACTCTGCAGTGTAAACGTTCCCTCACTTTAGATCTGAGAATGTATTGAAGGGTAGCCCCTTGAGATGGAGCATCTCATCTTCGAGGGGTCCTGAAACATAAACACACTAATCATAATAAATAAATCTGGTTTGAAGGAATAATATGTATTAAAGGTCACCTATCATGCTATTTTTAGGCAATAGCATAGGTCTCAGATATATAGAAAAATATAAAAAACATGTCTATGAAGTATTTTGCTCACAAAACCAAACAGATCACCCATTCTAGCCATTCCTCATATTCCTCTATTTCACTTCCTGTTTCAAAAGGGCTGATTCTGGGTATAAACAGGTCTCTCTTGAGAATGAGACACTGTATCTCAATGAGATTTTCACCTGTATAAATAAAGGCAAAAAAATAAAAAAATAAGAGGGGGTGGAGCTTATGCCGGCTCATGCGGGACCTGGCAGATACTGTCTGAAATGCTGCGGTGATGAAACGCAGGGATTATTAGATGAAGGGTTATCTCTGAAACAGTATGGAGCTCAAAGGCTTTCTCTCTTGCCGGTTATACCACAAGGTGAGTTCCTTTTTATTTCCTGCTTCTTCACACACATGCTCTCCAGTACAGGTTAGCTCTGAGTGTTAGCGATGCTAATGTAAACACCGACCATATTACGTCCAAAACAGTCGGGCATTGTTTCTGATAGCAACGTTTCTGATAGTGCCGTGGGTCCACATTTCAGATATTACGTCATATCGGACGCAAATCTGGATCAGCTCCGTTGTTCCCCCGTTTTTAGAGATTTGGGTACGGAGGAAAAGAGAGAGGGTTTTATTTTCTGACGCTGCGTGAGTTCCCTGACACACCGGGGACACATGTTGATGTAGAAAAGACATAAAAAAGTGCATTTTGCATGATAGGTCCCCTTTAAACTATCTTTCATATTATAATGTTGCATGGTAGAAAGCTGCAAACAACTAGAATATATTATTATGCTTTTGGTTATTATTATTTAATAACTTCCTATTGGAGGGTTTGATTACTTCCTGTTGGAGGGTTTAATAGAGTGGTGCAGGAGGACGTATTTACCCGGAAGTAAGCTGCGCATGGGTTCCCTCGACAAAAAAGCAATGGGATTTCTCCATAGGATTTTGGAAAATAGCTCAAAATAAGGTCTGTGGAAAACGAATCTGTTTGACTGCAACCAGTCATAGGAGTTAAAATGCAAAGCCTGAACGACGACAAGAACGAGAGATTTACATTTTACAGGATAATTAATACCAGAGCAGTGTGTACATACTGTAGGCCCTGTGCGACATGCAGAGTACATGTTTCATTTTTTAGCAGCAAAGTAACATTACTCAAAGTATATATATATATATTAGCTAGTGGAGCCTCGCAGCGGCGACATCCGTGCCGCGCCACACTAATTGCGCCGCATAAGCGCATAGGTGCGCCGCATTTGCGGCTCAGTTGAGGCTCAGTTGAGGCTCAGATGAGGCCCCCTCCGCAAGATGAGGCCCCCTCCGCAATGTGAGGCCCCACGCAGTCTGCATGATCGGCCTGTAGGGAGGGGCGGCCCTGCCTCCAGAAGGACTTTTAGGGTGTTTTCCAGTAGAGAGAGCTGTCAGAGCGGTTCCTCTCAGAAGAGCAGCTGCTGGGCACTCCCAACCGTTAGCGCCAGTCAAAACCATGTTTTATTCCGCTTTGTTTCAACTACTGCTGTTTCGCCGTTCCTGTGTCCCGCCCTCTCTGTATGTCACTGTCTCTCTCTCTCTCTCTCTCTCTCTCTCTCTCTCTCTCTCTATCTCTATCTCTCTCTCTCTCTCTCTCTATTTATTTAGCTAAAATGGTAATCCAACTTCACCAGCTCTAACATAATGTGTACCATCTTCCAGAGGTGGGAGTAAGTCCTACATGTGCAAGTCATGAGCAAGTCTCAAGTCTTGACCTACAAGTATCAAGCAAGTCCCAAGTCACTGTGGTGAGAGTCAAGCAAGTCAAGTCAAGTCATTGCTCAGGTCAAGCAAGTCAAGTCAAGTCATACAAAATTCTGATGAATAATCCCAGTTTCCACATTTAAATCAGTTAAAAGACAGTGGTTATGAAAATGGATTGAACCCACACTATGATCTTCATTACATACATAGTTAATCATTTGAAATCTAATTTAGACCGATGACAATCATATTGGATTCATATTAACCCTAGAACTGCAGACAATATAGCTAGGACTCAGTCAGTCTGGTCAAAAAGGCAGAATTCCAGGTAAGAAAATCATATATGGCATTTGCCATTACACATATTTAATTTAAATGTCTGTTCACACTAGAACCACCAACAGCATCAGCACCTACATAGATATCATTTTCAAATCATTTAATTTGTTCCTCTTCATCATTTCCTTATAAACTAAGTAGGACGATTTAAAACTCACTTAATTGGGTTAATTTAGAAATGGCTTCAGTTTATCATCATAACAGATCAAAAAGTTCAGATTCATTTTACAATATATCAAGGAATGATGCACTTCTACAAACAAAAACAACATAATTAAAACATTTAAACAAACTACTAAAAGTAGATGAACTACATTATTCAACAGTTTACAGTAACTTCTGATAATAACACAGGGGAAATAAACGAGGCATCTCTTTTCCTCTCTCTCTCTCTCTCTCTCTCTCCCTCTCTCTCTCTCTCTCTCTCTCTCTCTCTCCTGACAGCCCGTCAGTATCAGGGTTAGTCAAAATGAATCCCTTGGCGGTTCTAGTGTTCATTTACCGTTTTGTCTTCTCTTTGCTTAATCGATTTGAAACCAAGTCTAACGTAGCTTAAACTTAACGTTAGCTTTCTAGCTAACACAACACATTCACGCACCTTTCTCTGTGGGTTTTTTTGTAGTGACGAATGAAGTTGGATGTTGTGGTGGTCGTGTCACTGATCTTTATGCTGCAGACCCTGCATACCGCTGTTCTCTTCTTATTAGCGTCATCGACAACATAATCCTTGAATCCAAACTTCACTATTTGGGGAGTAACGCTAGCCGCTGCCATGTTAACTGACACTCCTGCCGTCTAGTGGGTTGCCAGGTTTGCGCGCATGGCGCTATAATCACCCAATCACGTTTTTTGAAAACACTAAACGTAATATCTCACTACAAAAACAAATGCAAATATTTAATTGTAAACAGTCAAGTCCTTTCAAGTCATCTGTCTCAAGCTTAAGTCAAGTCTCAAGTCATGAATACCAAGTCA